TTGTGGTAGGGACAAATACCAAATTCGTCCTGATTTTGATTCTTAGTCTCATACCTACCATACCCATGCTCAGATTTTTGGTCAAGTGAGAAAATATAACTTTGTTTCTTCCTCCCTCTTCAAGTTGACATGAAGTGCTTGAACTGAAATACCATTACATGCAGAACCAAGCTGGTTCACTCCTTCCGTCTTCCTCTGGAACAACATGTATTGGTGTATTCAGGACGAAAGCAATTACTGCAGAATGCAAATATTGTATTTTCTAGAGCAGAGGTATGTCTGTGGAAACAGCAATATCATCCCAAATCATTCCTAGCTAAGTGATTTGTTGATGTATCACTGGCAACAGTGTAAATATGAACATCAGAGCCAGGGAATAACCAGTCTCCGTATCCACTGTAATAGATTAAATACTGAATGGTTGGTAGTTATACAGATAGTACACTGACAATACATCATGAGTAGGGACCATACACCATTGATTGGATAGACTCTTCACTGCTTTATGATAGGATTTTGAATATGAATCCAACTGTTTTGACGAGGAATTCTGGTCTTGGCAGTGTAAGCAGTAATGCGAGGCCCTCATGAGAGTTGTGTGTCTTGAATGGTTCCGGTGATATGCTTAAGGTGATACATTTGTTTATATGTTTTGTGAATATAAATAATCATGATCCCAAGGAAGCTGTGTCTTAGTGTGCAAGCTTTTTTGTAGGTTTTCTGAAGGGCTGTGTTTTTAGGGCTAGAATTGCATAAATTCAGTTATTCATACAGAGATACTCCCTTTGCATGGGTAATTGAATTCTTTGTTAGATCATATTTGATAAAGATGTATCCTCATGGACGTTTGTTTGAGTGTCAACTTTGCCAGAAAGATAACTTTTGTCATTGTACTAAAAAACAACAACTATGGAACATACATGTCAACGTCAAATGTAATGAAGATGTCAATCACTCTCGATCGTTATGCAATGATGTGCCTGGTAAGAAATGTTAAGTACTTTTAACTGTTCACTATTACAATATGCTCAGTTTAATGGCTATTAATTGCCATCCACTTGACCTAGGTGTTAATGCTATGTATAGTAAGAACTATTATTACACTATTTATGACAGGACAGGTACTGCCATCTGTGGTATACTGATTGCTATCATATATTATACATAACAATAGCCAATAAAAATAGGCAATCTAAATTAGACTGTTGCCGTAAATGAACATATGTAAACTATACTTTGAGGAATAATAATATTGAAGACATATCCCAATTGCATTTTTGTGAGAAGTTATTGTATCTATTTAATTACTTTAGAAGCATAACACAATAATTATGAATTTTCCTGCTGCTTTGATATGGCCTGATAATATGTTTTTCGTGGGGAAGAAATTGACCGCAACTCATGATAATGTTACTCGTTTGTGTTCTTCTCGGTATGACCCCATGAATATCAGGGTTAGAATTGATCTTCAGCAACCTCTGCTTATCATAAGAGGCAACTAACAGGATCGGTTGGTAATTTTTGCTGCCTTATTTTATGAATGTCTTCATTATTCCAGTGATGACCCTTGCTGGATTATCTCGTGAAGACTAAGACTTGATTATTTACAGGTGGCTGTCAAATATCTGGAATATTGTCGAGTGCATGGTTAACAAACAAACAATCTGTAGACTTTAAAGATAATTAGAGTGAGAGTTACATGACATTAGTGTAAATGAAATGAGCATCTACACTGGACACTGGTAGCAGGCTCCTTTGAGAGCAGGCCTCTGTTGCTAGAACCACTACAATTTTTGCTGAAGCTGCATGCTTTATCTCAGGCTGTGAAGCAGAATACTGGGATTAATGTGTATCAGATTTTAGCTGCTTGTGCTGTTAGACACTTTGTTGTAGCATCGGTTTAATAATGCATGGATGTCATACAACATTTGTGCCAGAAACGAAAGTTCTGATGATTATTTCTACACAGTTCACAGTGAAATATATGTTAATACATTTTTATTGATTGCTCACATGTAATGCAAATATTTGTCTCGAGAGATCAAAATTGGATGTTGGGATTTAAAGGTGTTTGAAGGCCAAGTAGGCCGGAAGGTAGCTAAAGTTTAGCTTTGTTTGCCTAAAGTGTACTCAGATGGTGACATTTTAGGGTAGAACAGACCATTGGTACCCATCCTTGGTGCCTACTCAGATGGTGACATTTTAGGGTAGAACAGACCATTGGTACCCATCCTTGGTGCCTACTCAGATCCTTGGTGCCTACTCAGATGTGACATTTTAGGGTAGAAAAAGACCATTGGTGCACATTCTTGGTGCCTACTCAGATGGTGACATTTTAGGGTAGAACAGACCATTGGTACCCATCCTTGGTGCCTACTCAGATGGTGACATTTTAGGGTAGAACAGACCATTGGTGCACATCCTTGGTGCCTACTCAGATGGTGACATTTTAGGGTAGAACAGACCATTGGTACACATCCTTGGTGCCTACTCAGATGGTGACATTTTAGGGTAGAACAGACCATTGGTGCACATCCTTGGTGCCTACTCAGATGGTGACATTTTAGGGTAGAACAGACCATTGGTACACATCCTTGGTGCCTACTCAGATAGTGACATTTTAGGGTAGAACAGACCATTGGTGCACATCCTTGGTGCCTACTCAGATGGTGACATTTTTAGGGTAGAAAAGACCATAGAACAGACCATTGGTGCCTACTACTCAGATGGTGACACAACAGACCATTGGTACCCATCCTTGGTGCCTACTCAGATGGTGACATTTTAGGCAGAACAGACCATTGTAGACCCATCCAGCCTACTCAGATGGTGACATTTTGGGTAGAACAGACCATTGGTACCCATCCTTGGTGCCTACTCAGATGGTGACATTTTAGGGTAGAACAGACCATTGGTGCCTATTCAGATGGTAAACATTTTTAGGGTAGAACAGACCATTGGTGCCTACTCAGATGGTAAAAGTTTAGGGTAGAACAGACCATTGGTGCACACATCCTTGGTGCCCACTCAGATGGTGATGATTCTCACTGTGTGCCCTGACTGACATTGATTGTGTTGACTTTCCCCAAACATCTGGAGCTTTGTCGAAGTTGTCAGCCACTGGTTTGGGTGTACTTCTTGACTGGATCATTTACAGTTTCCGGGATATACCTCATTTTATTGGTTGAATATGGTTGACTGGACCCACATTCACTCACTCACTCATCAAGACACAAACTGTTACATGTTATACACAGGTTATCACATCAGTGTTGCAATAAAATAATCATAAAATGATACTCACCAAGTGGGCTGAAGTCTTTATTCAGCCAACTGCCTCCATTGTGTAGTGGATAGTTTGTTTGCCCAGCAGTATCATAAAACACAGACTGGTCGGCTTGGAGTCTGTATACTGAGCATGGGATTGTGTGGGCTAACAATATTGAACTGGCCTTGTCCGGGCTAGTACGAACAGACATGCTACACTATATGCACATTGTCATGTGAGTGGAAGAATCTTAAATGCAGTTCTCCTCACCTGTATTCAGCCATTGATTTTCATGAGCTGCAGCAGATGATGTTTCAGTATATTAATGTGTCTAGTGAGTTTGGTGTCACAAGCCTTCTTCAGTCCCTTTTGGGGTAGGTCAGGCAAAAGATGCTGCTCTTCACGCAGTTACATGTCATCACATCCCATAGGTGTGGACTGTTCATGATATTACTCACTTGAAGCTGCATTGATGCTCAGTGTGAGTTCCACAACACTCTGACAGAAACCATGCCGTCAATACAGGATTAATGAGAGACTATGCTGATCCATGTAACCATGAAAGACTGAAAGACTGACTGATCCATGAGAGATACTATACTGATCCATGAGAAGCTATACTGATGCATGAAAGACAATACTGATCCATGAAAGACTACTGATCCATGAAAGACTAAACTGATCCATGAGACTACAGATCCATGAGAGGCTATACTGATGCATGAAAGACAATACTGATCCATGAAAGACTACTGATCCATGAGAGACTAAACTGATCCATGAAAAACTAAACTGATCCGTGAGACTATACTGATCCATGAGAGACTAGACTGATCCATGAGAGCTAGCTAAAGCTTGAATAAACTGATCCATGAAAGACTATAAACTGATCCATGAGAGACTAGATCCATGATACCACTATACTGATCCATGAGAGACTAGACTGATCCATGAGACTATACTGATCCATGAGAGACTAGACTGATCCATGAGAGACTAAACTGATCCATGAGAGACTATACTATACTGATCCATGAGAACTAAACTGATCCATGAGAGACTATACTGATCCATGAGACTAAACTGATCCATGAGAGACTATACTGATCCATGAGAGACTGATCCATGAGAGGCCATACTGATCCAGAGACTGATCCATGAGACTAGACTGATCCATGAGAGACTAGACTGATCCATGAGAGACTAGACTGATCCATAAGACTAAACTGATCCATGAGAAACCAGACTGATCCATGAGAGACTGACTGATCCATGAGACTGATCCATACTGATCCAGATCCACTGACTAAACTGATCCATGAGAGAAGGACTGATCCACGAGAGACTAGACTGATCCATGAGACTAAACTGATCCACATAGGCTAGAGACTAGGCTATACTGATCCATGAGAGACTAGACTGATCCATGTAAGACTAAGACTAGGACTGATCCATGAGACTAAACTGATGAGAGACCTGATCCACGATAGGCTATACTGATCCATGAGAGACTAGACTGACGATAGGCTATCCATGAGACTAGACTGATCCATGAGACTAGACTGATCCCATGAAAGACTAAACTGATCCTTTGTCTTGCTATATTGATCCAGTTTACCACTCTTGTCCAGGAAGCTGCTCTACACAACTGTGGTGCATGTCCTGTTCACTACCCAGTTTTAAGAGTGCCATTATCAAACTTAGTATTACCTCCATGTTTTGTCTTTTCCAGATCACCAGAAATTGGAAAGAGAAGCCAGGATTTGTAGGTTGTTAAAGCATCCCAATATAGGTAAGTCTCCCACTTCTACTGTTACATTGCATGGTTACATGTATTTTATGCATATCGGGTGAATGACACTCTTTGCTATTCAGGAAGTGTTGAAAGTCTATGCAAAAGTGTCGAAACACAACTGGCAAGTGCTCAATTCACAAATTGTGTGGTCTTTTGTACTTTTTAGAATCTTAGCATTTTGAGTAGTGAGTGAGTATGGTTTTTACGCCGTTTTTAGCAATATTCCAGCAATATCACGGCAGGGGGACACCACAAATGGGCTTCACACATTGTGCCCATGTGGGGAATCGAACCCGGGTTTTCAGCGAGACGAATATGCTTTAACCACTAGGCTACCCGACCGCCCCTCTTAGCATTTTGAAAATATCACATGGAATATTGCTCTCTAATTTAAGATCAAATGAGATCGTAATGTTAGCTGTGGAAACAAACTTTAGGATTTATGTGATGAGGTTAAATGTTAATCATTTACGATGTCTCTTTACATTTTGTACATTTGACACATGATAGGAATATCAGTGTGTGTGTGTGTGTGTTTTTTGGGGGTTTTTGGTTGGTGTTGTTTAGCCTAGTGGTTAAAGCATTTGCTCATCACGCCGAAGACCAGGGTTTGATTCCCCACATGGGTTCAATCTGTAAAGCCCATTTCTGGTGTCCCCCACCGTGATATTGCTGGAATATTGCTAAAAGCAGCATCATATTAAAGTCACTCACTCACTCACTGATAGGAATGTCATGCAGGCATTGATGAGGCAACTGAACTAGGATTGGAATGTCAGCAAGGTGGGGTCCCTAGTCAGTACAACAGCATGGATCATTGCCCACATCACTGGATTGTCTGGTTCAGGACCAATAATGTGCAAGCCACCATGTTAAACTTAATCTCTCAATTTCTTGAGAGGAATGAGCAATGCAAGTGATGCCAACTGTCATCAAGATTCACATGAATGTAATTTTTACAAATATTCAAGGTTTTGATAGTTTGATTTTTTCAAATTTGGGTCCCCAATTGGAATCAAATTACCATACATCTTTTAAACCCACGTAGTAATGATTATTCATCAGTGATCAGTCACAATGGGATCGGCAGTTGAATCAAGGAAGCAGTTATCTGTAATTGAAGGAGATGTGATGATTATGGTAGCCCAGTGGTTAAAGCGTTCACCCTGGCACGCCAAACACCAGGTCGGGGAGAGTTATTGACACAAAGTGACACTTATGATTGATAAAATGTCTGCTACAGTACATCTGGTGTCCACAGCCATGATATTGCTGGAGTTATTGCTACAAAGCAGCATCATATTAAAGTCACTCACTCACTCTAACCAAGGAAGGTGCATGCAGGCAGTGATTGCATCAATATTAGGCCCGAAGCTGACTGAAAACCACTCAGACCCACAGCTTTTGTTTTCTACAGGTCGTTATGGTCCTTACAGCTTTTGCATCCCAAATAACTAAGAGTGTTATTTCCATATAAAATACAGAGCCTACTTACTGATTGATGATCAGGACCCACAACTCTTATGGTTCCTGGGTCAGTGAGGAGTCGCAGAGCAGTTATTGATACATTGAACACACTTACTGATTGAAGGTGCTAACAGTGTGTGGTACACCCTGGGATGTAGGCAGTGACAGGTCGAGGGAGCAGTTATTGATACATTGAACACACTTACTGATTGATGCTATCAGTGCTACAGTATACCCTGGGATGTGGGCAGTGATAGGTCAAGGGAGCAGTTATTGATACATTGAACACACTTACTGATTGATGCTATCAGTGCTACAGTACACCCTAGGATGTGGGCAGTGACAGGTCGAGGGAGCAGTTATTGATACATTGAACACACTTACTGATTGATGCTATCAGTGCTACAGTACACCCTGGGATGTAGGCAGTGATAGGTCGAGGGAGCAGTTATTGATACATTGAACACACTTACTGATTGATGCTATCAGTGCTACAGTATACCCTGGGATGTAGGCAGTGATAGGTCGAGGGAGCAGTTATTGATACATTGAACACACTTACTGATTGATGCTATCAGTGCTACAGTACACCCTGGGATGTAGGCAGTGACAGGTCGAGGGAGCAGTTATTGATACATTGAACACACTTACTGATTGATGCTATCAGTGCTACAGTACACCCTGGGATGTAGGCAGTGACAGGTCGAGGGAGCAGTTATTGATACATTGAACACACTTACTGATTGATGCTATCAGTGCTACAGTACACCCTGGGATTTCCAGTCGAGGGAGCAGTTATTGAACATTGAACACACTCAGATTAGGAAAACTTTGATTGACGACATTGTCATCTCCAGTAAGACTTGCCTCAGGATATGGATGAAATTGGAATAATCACATTGCAAAGTCTTGTGTAGTGAGAAGATGAGAAAGAGCACTTGATCCTTGCCTCATCATTTCCAAGGCTTTGTTGGGAGACAGCAGCGATGGAAAGCTGTCATACGACTTGGTTGTGTTGTTCAGTGATTGCTTCCTGCAATAGTTGGCAGACACTGAATATGCACCTCAGAGAATGCACATTGCACATGAACAGATGCCAGTGTTTACATATCCCTTGGCCTTCTGTGTCACTGTACATTCCTTAGGAACTGACCACTTTACATTTTTGGTTTTGCCTGTTTTCTATGCTTAATACAGTCTTCTTATCTGTAAAAAATGAAAATACTTTATTTTCTTTTGTGAGAAAAATGAATGACATGTTTTTATCCTGGAGTTTTATCCTGTTTATTGTGTTGCACACTGGCTGAACACATTGATGTCATTTCCAGTAGGTACAATGTCTCAGCCTACTGCTCCCAGTGTATTGCTGAAATACAGCTTAAAGCACCATGCGAACATTCTCACATTCCTGATACTTACATATATTGAAAATAAGGGAAAACAGTTGAGATAAAGACTGAAGTCAGTTCTGGAGCACTGTAAGGTGAGTGTGAGTGAGTCTAGTTTTACGCCGCATTTAGCAATATTCCAGCATTATCAGTAGGGGGAGATAATGATATGGGTTGAGGAGTAAGCTGATTTACAGATAGATGTAGGTTGATTAGTGCTGTAAGATCAGGAGTAATATAAGAGAGTAATGCTAGATAAATGATAATGTCTAAATCTAAGATAGGAAAGGGAAAAGGAAGACTAACTTAGCAACAGCAAGGACAATGTGGCCTCTTGGCTTATAACTGTCGGCTGAGGCGATCAGACACAGACAGTGTTAGATGTCACAGGCCATCGGTGACTAGAGATGCCACGATGCAATCGATACATCAATGTGTCGATACTTTTATCTATACATTCAAAACTGTATCGATATTTAGTTTTGAAAGTATCGGTTGAAATATGTTTATGGATCGTTTACATTTTGCAATGGTATCATGTATTTTGATGTGATTTGAGTTATAAATGATTATTTTTCATGCACAAAGAAGGGAAATTAGAACTTTTTTAATCTCTGAGAATAAAAAATGTTGATCATGGACAATAAAAAATAAAAAATATTAATGTTCAAAATGTCACTAAATTTACGCAATAATGCTGCGAAAATAAGTATCGTGGTACGTATCGAATCGTGACATGGGTATTGTGATACGTATTGATTCATGAAACTTATGTATCGTGACATCACTATAGGTGACTATAGGTATGCTGAATATTGCAGCGAGCACCTATGACAAGGGATGTGCAGGCTATCTATCCCCAGTCTTTCAGTGACACAGCTACTGTAGTGGCCAGAATGACTGGAAACTGTCTGTCAGCCTGCTTTTATGTAATGATCGGTGGGTCATGGTGCTGAATATGTTATTGTGGTTTATAAGTCTTGAAATTTCCAACAGGAAGTAGGTGCCATATTTGTTTTGAGAAGAACGTTTTTATGACAGCACAACAAGATGATGGTTTTTTCTGCGCACAAAACACTTTATTTCCAGAATGCCCTGCATATTCACTGAACAATTTCCTCATTTCCAGGAACCAGTATTTTATATAAATAGATCTGAGATTTGATCTTTTAGGTGATACGGATTGTGATATATAATTATTTACTGTCTGTTAGTAAGGACTGAGAGCTCACATGTGGATAAGAGAGAGGATATGATTCTGTCCAGTATGTGTGCCAATAAGGGTACGTGGCTAGCTCAGGGTTCAGGGACTAGGTTCTAGGTCTCATCAGTGTAAGTATATGACACTGATGTATTGTAAGTAAGTGAGAAGCTCCTCACACATGCTGTGTCAGTTACGACTGTTTGATCTTCCTTCATTAGTTATATGCCAGTATTCCAAATTTATGGTGTTGTCATGCTTGATTGTTGCCAGACATGCCAAGAGAAATGATTGACAATTCAGTATTTAAAATGATTTTAAATGATCTACAGCGTTGCTCCATGAACGCTGCAAGATTTAAATACCTCGCCATCAGTTACTTCTGATAGATAGTGTCTTCATAATACTGATTCCCCTGTGTACTCCGTTGAAGCATCGTCATAGCAACCATGAAAGGCCTGCTCTACATCTCACCGATTCCGCATCTCATTCATTATTGATATGAAATGAAATCCCCCAGTCAAATTCCTCAAAACCTAAAGTAATAGTCTGGATGGAAATAACCTACAAACACTGTATCCTTCAAAGAGATCTTGTTTTAGACATTCAGCTTGTGTAGCCAGTAAAGCCTCCAGGAAGGAGGGGATATTCTTGTGTTGTTTCTGTTGATAGATTGCTGTAGTAGCTGATGGCAGAAACACGATTCTATTGATCGTTAGTGGAGAGGTAGCACGAATGGCAACTGAAAAATAAAATTTATTGCCTTTTTTTAAGTTGTCCTGATGTACTGGTATGTGATATCTTGGGGGAAATCAACAATCAGCTGTACATGCCAGGATGTGAAATAAGTTAACTGCATGGTGTGGGATAAAAGCAGGGCGTGGGATACAGGATCTCTGATGCAGGATGTAGGATGTAGAACACAGGATCTGTTATACAGT